GGTGCAGGCTCCTACCCTGGGGGGTTTTTAAGAGGAGGTTAGATGAACACCTTGCTGGGGTCGTTTGACCCCAGTACTCTTTCCTGCCATGGCAGGGGGTTGGACTAGATGATCTGCTCAGGTCCCTTCCGACCCTAGAAACTATGAAACTATGAGTGGTGCCCACTGGATCTTTGGATACCTTTGAGAACAGGTGGGTATGTCCTGGGTGTCTCTGCTCGGTGTCCCCCTCCAGACAACTTCTTTTCACATTTTGACCTTTTGACACCAAAGCCACTCCTGCCCTGTTTTTGCTTTTGTTGTCACAAGAAATTAGTTGCATCTTTCACTGTTTGGCCCCACAAAGGGACTATTAGATAGGTGAGCCTGAAGGCCCACTTTAATATGGAAGATAGAAATAGACAGGAGCTTTTGAGGCCCAGCCAGATGGTATCTGAAAACCTAGACCCCTGCACTGTACAAAGGCCAGCTGTGCAGACATGGCCAACTGGCAGCTGGCCCAGAAGTGCAGGAGGCTTTCCTGCAATTCCCATACCACAGTCCAGGTGGCCGTGTGGTCCCCATCTGGGTCTGGCAGGCACGAAGCCATGGGGCCACATGCTGTTGCAGGTGTTAGCAGACTGCTGCAGTGGGTAGAGGGTGCTGTGTGCAGTGAGAGCACCCCAGGTGACAGCAAGAACAGCCTGGTTCTGCTCAAAGGCATACGTCCCCGGGCTGGGCCCATGCTATGTAGCACAGGCAGTGCTGGGTTGCACCACACTATGGGGGGTGTCTGTCAGCAGTGGGCCCTGAGAACCCAACGGCTGTTGCTGCTGCTGCTGGGGTGGGGAGCAGGGAAAGGCTGTGTTCCATGTGGGAGCGGGCCAGGGACCCACCCCTTCTGAGCAGTCCCCCCAACACCAATGTTCCTACTTACTGGGGACAGTGCCCGGGTTTTGGGTCACTACTGCTGCCTTGCCTTGCTCCCACTTGCCCCAGCACACAGAGAGCATGCTGAGGCAGCAGGGGAAAGGGGCAGGCATAGAGATGTGCTGGCCGGGTGCTAGAGCACCTCTTTGGAGGACCCAGCCTCCATCTCTTTGGAGGACCCATGCTTGAGCATGCCCCGTGCTGCTTTTTTGCAGCGGGGTTTTTTTTTTTTTTTTTT